CGGAGGGCGGCGCGCGCGCCGAGGGCGAGCCGTGGGCGTCGCCGCGCCTCATCGCCCTGGGCGACGGCCCCGACTGGGAGGGCTTCCTGCGCCCGCTCGAGCCCGCGCCGCCGCTGCCGCCGCCGCCCGAGGACCCGCTCGCCGCCCCCGCCCTCGTCTGCTGCTCCTCCGGCACCTCAGGCCTGCCCAAGGGCGTCGTCCTCTCGCACTTCAACCTCGCCGCAGCCGTCGACGCCATCATGTGAGTCCGCTCCCTCCTCCTGTTGCTGGGCAGTTTGACGAGTTTACAGTTTTACTCGCCACCGAGTACTGAGAATTGTATGCAACGCTGCGCAAATAAACGGTGAATTATTGGCAGAAAAACTCTTTTACAGGACCCTGATATCGAAAAAGTGGATAAATTCATATGCTAAATATTTCTAATACGTGTCGTAACCAGAATCTTTCATTTGTAGGTCCTTGATACCGAGAAATTGATTGACGTCTGTCTCTCTGTCTGTCCGTCAGTGCTTAAACTCCGTCCGGTTAAACCGTTCAAGCCATTTTCTTTAAAATTGAAATGCCGCAATCGAACTGGCTGATGTCGCGGCCCCTTGAATTTGAAACCGATATTTTAGTTTGGGAGTGTACTTTACAAGAAGTCACTCGTTCATTTTCCAAATTTGCATCATTTTTAATTACGTTTTTTGTAGGACAATCTAGAGAGCGTTCAAGAGAATGGTGCTTACTTTATGTTTGTTGAAAACCCTGACTTTTCGAAAACTGTAAAAGTTCACATTTTTTTAGGAATTTTCCTGCAACTAAAATATTAAAGATATATATTTTTCCCTCAATGATATCTGTTCTTTAAAGATTTATTGAGAATGTTTCTAGAATACAACTAGCCATCGTGATTTTGGAATAAAAACCAAAACAGTGAACATGAACAATTTAAAATGTTTTCCGAAGTTAAACATCCAAAGAACATCCACGTAACATGTTACTTAACCAACAAAATTCTCAAAATTGCTGGTCTGTTTTGTTTGAAGGCATGAGGATTCTGCCCCGAAACTGGATTGCACAATGGTCATCACATCACCTGGCTTCTGGGTGACCGGGACTTATTACACGCTTATCTCCATGCTAATGCCTCTGAAGCTCATCTACGAACATGGCTGCACCGAGAGAGAGCTTCTTGTTAGCATTGACAAATACAAGGTACTTGTAAATACTTCCTCCTTGTGCCAGATCAGGTTTTCGTCCAGTTTCCCTGATCCTCGAGCAAATGCTTCTGGACATAAATGTAACTTCAAATTTACTTCTCCCCTGAGCACGTTCCACACAGTTTCTAACTGTATTTGACGTAAATTAAATAAATAAATAAATAAATAAATAAA